AAACATCCCAGATCGCAACTCCCAGGTCAGACCTCCCAGATCAGATGGCCCAGATCAGATCGCACAGATCAGATCGCGCCCACCTGCTTGGCCGCCTCTTCTGCCTCCTCCTCCTTCTTCGCCGCCGCCGTCGCCTGCGCCAATATCTCCTCAAATTCCTTCTGCGCCCCCTCCTTATCCGCGTCGCCCCCCGCCGCCGCCGCAGCCGCCTTCTTAGCTTCCTCCTCCTTCTTGGCAGCTTCCGCGGCCTTGGCCATCAGCTCGGCGAGCTCCTTCTTGGCAGCTTCCGTGCCGGCGACGCGCTCGAGCAGCGGCGTCACCACCAGGCTGGGCGGGGGGAGAGGGAGGGCGAGGAGGGGGGCGGTCAAGTAACAGGGATGGGGCGGGTGCACAGGAAAGGGGTAGGAAAAGGGTGGGGCGGGGGACGCGGCCGGAGGCTGAGGGGTGGACCGGTGCTGCAAACAAAAAAAGGTGGGGGCTGGGCTTGCGACATGTCCGCGAGCGGCCGCCGCCGGCCGGCGACGGTGCGCGCCGGACACTTCGAATAGAGCCCCCCGCGTTCAGGCACGCTGCTTCAGGGCGCCGGGGCGGGCGAAAACACACGTGCTTTCCTCCGCTCAAAACACATCCCAAGGGGTTGCAGGCAGCGCCGGGTGTGAGGGTTTCGGGAGGCAGCGGGAGATAACACCCGGTCTCATTGCAGAGGGGGCGGGGAATGCAAAAATACATAATATACACAACATTATTATATAAATTGATGCATGTGCCCCATTGCAGTGCTCACGAGTTGAACTGCACCATCTTCTTGAGCTGTATGGCCGCGGCCTTGCGGTCGTTCTGCTGCAGGTCCTTCACCGCCTGGCCCGCGAATGACTTGAGCTTCTTGCGGGCGGCCTGCGGGGGACCGGGGGGGGGGGTGTGTCGGGCCGCACGACTTACAACATTGTGGCATCCAACAACTGCCACATTATCCACCCGGAATGCACGACCACCAATCCCCCAAGTGTGCGCAGACAAACATCCACACACGCGCGCACACACACGCGCGCACACACACACACACACACACACACACACACAAAACACAACACACACTACACACACACACACACACACACAAACAAAACACACACACACACACAAACAAAACACATAACAAACTCACACTACACATGACACATACATATGTGTAAGCATTCAAGACACGTACCACACATTACGCACTTCATCGACCACACAACGCCGCGCCGCCCACCTCTGCGTACACCGCCTTCGCCACGGCCCTGTCCATCTGCAGGTCCTTGATGACGTCATCAACCTTTGCCAGGTCAAACTCGGTCAACGGGCGCGGCCCGGCCGCGAAGGCCTGCTCCAGAGACTCCTCCAGCACGTGGCCAGAGGTGGCCTTCATGATCTGGGGTTGTTTTCGAGTGTTCAAAGAGACAGGTTGGGATCAAAAAAAGATTGCTTGGACTTTTGACTGTTGAAACTTGTGTTTTTGAGCAGGTGTGAGGAGGGGAGGCTGTTTGGGGGCGTTGTCGCTCAATGAGAGGTGATAAGGCGAGTGGGTGACGTCTCAGCGAGGCTGATATTTTGGGGGCCCGGTATGTGCGAGCGGCTCAAGGAGGCAGGGCCGGGCACCCCTGACCCTGCCCAGCCCACAAACAGCCGCAGCTCTGAGGCGGCGCACGTGCTGCCATGATCAGCGCTCGTGCGTGCCTCGCCGCCGCTCCAGCAGGGTAAGTGCGTGGCGAATGCGCGCGCGCGCGCGTGTGTCTGTGTCTGTGTGTGTGTGTCGTTGTGTGTGCCCACCTCGTTGGCTGTGTCTTGGGGGATGCACAGGATGCGGCGTATGCGCTGCAGCTCCTGGGAGTCACCCGGGGTCAGCTTCTTCTTGGCTACCAGCTGCGGGGTCGACGAGCCAGGGTTAGAAATGGGTGAGGCGCAGAGGGGCGGCGCGTTTCAGGCATGAATTGCGGGGCTTGCATGACCGTGGCCAAGGTGGGTGGGGTGCACTGCATATTTAGGGTTGACTCGCAAGCGAAAAAAGGAGAGGCAGGCGAGCGGAGCGCGATCGGCTCCTTCCTTCAACAGTCGCAGGGCGCGGCAGCCCAATACGAATTGGCACCATGCTGACGTCAGCGTCGCCGTGACCGCCTGGAAAAAAAGGGGTGTCCCGCCTGGTCATACTCACTACCCCCTGACCCCATCCCCCAAACACCCCCCCTTAGGCGCACCCACACACATTCACGCACGCACGTACGCACACGCGCGTGTGCAAACACACACGCACACACACCGCTGCGAGCTTCTGCCTGTAGAGGCTCTTGTGCAGCTCCAGGGCAGCTTCCGGGCTGAAGCCGCTCCGCTGCACCAGCGAGCCCAACACCTGGGGGGGGTGAGCGGTTCCCAAGGGGG